TGTGGGGATTTTCAGCAACAGTGTGAATATAATTCACGTTTCAACGGCTCTCCATTTCACGCTGTTGTCCTTAGATTTTACCGAAAAAGAAAATAGTGAAATAAACTATAAATTTAAATATTCCCTCCGAGCCGACTCGATTTTCCCTAAAGCGTGTTGCTGCAAATAAATTGGCGAATGAAAATCGTGCGCTCTCATATTTCCGGATAGTAGAAATTAAAATTTAATATTTTGTGTTATGCAAGTGTGCAATGGTAGATAAGAGCAAAGAGTTAAACTTAATTTTATTTTGGGCTTTCTAAATTGGGCGAGAAAGCTATTTTTGTAGTAAATTTATATATATATATATATATATATATATATATATATTGTTTTTACAAAGAAAAAGAAGCAGACGGGTGTAAATTTCCACCTCACTTTGATGTGCACTTTTTAAATAATTCAATTACCACGTGATTATTTGCTAATTACTTATTTAATTGGATGGCAAACTACACGATAAGCTCCGATTTCACATTGATTTTTAATATTTGTAATTAATCTCTCACTATTAAAATCCATTTTGTTTTTCAATCAAATTCTATTTACACCGTTTTGAAAATAGGATTTAAATTTTGTGCGTCAACAATGTTGTCATTGTCACTTGCCAATTCATGAGAATGGTCAAGGAAAAAATGTTAGTCTAGTTTTCCTATTCAATATGTATTAATAAAGGATATTAATAGTTTATGTTATCTAAGTGTTTACTAACACACATTTTAGGTAAAAAGGGGTGGCACGATTAAGCCTCCTGATTTGGAAAGTAGAATTAGCATTCTCTCGTCGGGTCTTGCTCAACCACAGCTCAAAAATGAACATCCAAGTCATTATCTCTGTCTGATCGAACGAAAATACTGACTGTTGCTTCACCGGTTCATAATTTTAGTCCAATGAAAGTGGCATTAGTGAAATATAATTCATGTGTGTCATTTCTAACGGCATTATAAATCGTTCTATTGGCCTTTTAGCTCACTTCGTCGAATGTATTGAGATATTTTTTCCAGCATTAAATTAACTTCACTGCGTTATTTTTTTTCTAAAGGTACAAACAGAAGGGCAGAGCAGCTGAGGCAGCCCTCAACGTTTACTACTATCTGACCTACGAGGGAGCAGTTGATCTTGACGTTGTTACAGATCCAATGGAAAGAGCCTCTATAGAGGCCATGATCAAAAATTTTGGACAAACTCCTTGCCAACTGCTGAATGTAAGTTAAATATTTCCCCCTTGATGTTTGAAACACCAGTTCTACCAAACCAGAAATCACCATGTTATGCTTAACAAACTAGTTGATTCTGTTCAATAAAAATAATTTTTTTAGGGAGATCCTAAAAGTCAATGCTTATGACTGTTGGTTAAACCAAACTGACCATAACGACCGCTCGATATTGATTTATAATGTTAAAAAAATGTGTATGTCGACCTTGCACGGTGTAGAGTTGACCTCTTATCCGTCTACCTATCTCGTCGTTCAACAAACACCCGATGAGGTTAACAGGTACAGGTTAATCATGTCCAATACAAAGTGAAATTCTTGTTAACGGTTGAAAATTGGTCTGGCTTTTGAAAGGTCAAAGATGTCGACTTTATTCAAGTCTCCCTGCAATCTTTTTGCTCATTTATCATCTGGTGTGCGTCATAACATAGTCTTATTTAGGCGTCAAATTTGTCAAGGAGGTTAACTAAAGACAGCTGAATAGATCATCTTCATACGAAATCGATTATTTTTTATGGATACAGGCGCGATCATAGCTTGCAACAAGTCTCCACAGATGTGTAGAAACAAGCAGAAAATGGTTCCAACTAACTCTTCCAAACGCCTCATCCTTTCATATACCGGCATGCATTTGTTTATAAACCGTTCACCGAAGATCGGCTGCATATTCTTTGATCTCCTTGAGCCAATGGGATTACATTTCATCTTTGAAATGGGAAACCTCAGGAAATCTAGTTAATTTACTGGTTAGTTTTATATGAATGTAGCAATTTTCGACATTAGCGTAGAGAAAATTAATTGGTTGGGAATAAGGAAGTAAAAAGGCGATTTGAAATTCAATTTTCTTTATCCCCAAATTAACCCCCCCCCAAGTTTTTTGTGAAATCCAATTCGTCTTTTACCACTATCACCTGTATTGCAAATTAGTATGGCCTATTAAAAAAAGAACTTCATTAGCTAGTATTATTCCTCTAGTCTATTAAAAGAAAGGGTTGACAACGTTTGACACGAGTATCCTGAGACCCACTGATGAGAATTTTGGATTTTACCACACTTTCTGTTGATAGGAATTGACAGGCGCGGCTAGCTACCCACATCACAAAACGAGGACGTTCATTATTGTCCTCGGATATCAATATCACACATTTTCCTAGTTATCTTTTCAGGGAACATCTTCGACTTTTGCAGATTTCCAGCTTCACTGGCATGTTGAAACAACTGATACAAGGGGCACCGAGGTTGACATTTATTGTGATTCATTAGGTATTTCCTAGAATTTGCCTTTCTGTTCACTTTTAAGGCAGGTTTCTCCTTTTCCAATTGCCCTTCGTTTACGTTTTTCACACACACACACACATGCACACAGTGGTTCCTCTAATTTCATGGAAAATATTAGTCATCAGAAAAAAAATTGGGACTGCCTTTTTCACCAATATATTTCTCATTTCAGCTATTCTGATTTGTCACAATAGATTGGTCTATTTTGAAAGTTCTTTGAATTGGACTATTTGGAAGTACTTTGTCCAAGTTGAGTGGATAATTGATGAACAAAGATCATTTATTAGAATTTTTTATTAATTGGGGGAGGGAGGGGTGGGGGTGGATGAAATCGATTTCTAATGTAAAATAATTTAAAGAAAGTATTTTACTCAATAAGATTTCATAAATAATAGTATTCATTTTAAAAATTCTAGGCATCTCTGTCGAATTTGGGAAAAAAATTAATAGCATATTAATCTTTTGGAATTCATTTTTAAGTTAGTTTAAAATCAACCCTTTGGTTGAATAAAAACCACATACTTAATTAAAACCCATCTGAAATTTTCACAGTCTAACGACCTCCAGTCATTTTAGATTTGTAAACCCATTTATCATGAATTCTCTTCAATGTTAAATCCCCCCCCCCCCAACCTTCAGCAAAGGATATTTTTAAATCCAGCCAATACACATTAACTCTGATTTACCATTGGTCTGTTGTTTCCATTAAGTCAATTACCCTCTCTCTCGCTCTCCCTCTCTCTTCAGAATAATGCATATCACATTGGGGCTCTGCCCAACGCCTATTTCCTTTCCGTACATTTTTACTCATTAAAGCCTAAACCTTGATAAGAAAATGTGAGGTCTTCTTATATATGATCCTTGTTAGTTACCTTTCTCAGCTTATCCCCTCCAAAATTCCCATGAGAGAGAGAGAGAGCTATGTTCACATTTTGGCAGTATTCAGGTCAGTGTATGCAGGAGTATATATTGCATTTTCGACCCCAGCTTCGCAAGTCACCTTCCACTGTGATTTATCACCACTCTAACTGAGTATTTTCCGGAGATTTGGAGGAGAGATAGATAGGAATTTGTTGACATGAATTATGCCCCCCCCCTCACTCCTCTCCCGGCCATTGACCTAAAGCGAATCAGATGATTAACTTCTCCCACATAGCATTCATTATTTTTTCCCCTCGACATGCTTTTCCCCACATTTTAATCAAGTGTTGAATGCATTAATGATGTCTGCCTTTTTATTATTTATAACAAGGCAAAGCAAATTCATCAGACTCATTGTAGCTATAACCTCGGTTGCAGCCTTGTTTTGTGATAAGGTTTAATTTTAAAATATCAAGGTTAGATAAAAGGAGGGGAGGGGGAGTATTTTGCCCACTCAAAATTTGCTTTAAGTTAGTTTAAGTCAAAGTTATTGGCTACAGGATGCTTTTTCACTCAACCACACATTAACTTTTACCTAACTATACCGATTCACGTCTGAATTCGTCATAAACAATACTTATTGCAAACAAGGGGGCCATGAATCGAATCCACTTGCTAATAACGCCCACTGTAATGAAAAAAATTAATTTTTTTATAATTGTGGGAACCAACTAAAATTCCTTAACAGTAAATGCTCATTTTCTAAATGGAAGGAAGTCGAAGTGAAATGAGAGCCAAGTCAAAAGCATCAAAGGATGTAATTTCGTTTTATCTTGAATTAATTTTTTTTTAAATTAGCTTAGTGGATGACTGGCGTTTTGAAAAATAAGTTTCATCATTAAATCCTTGTAACATAAAAAAAATGTGTCCCTACGATTCTGTATTTGATGACAGTAGTTTCAATCATGATGGTCGGTCTTCCAATCTCAAATATTTTTTTGAGGGAGGGAGGGGGGTTCGGGGGAGGGGGGGGGGATTAGGCATTGCTATTTTGAAAAATGTTCCCTTTTTCTGTTTAATTAACTAACACGCTTATCTTTCAATTTCTAATTGGCAAAATATTATTTATTTGTATCAAATGGCAGGCGTTTTGGTAGTTATCATTAGCCCTTTAGTTGACTTCAGGCTTCACAGATGGGAAGGAACATCAAAGTGGAAAAGGTCGAGATGGGGGGGGGAAGAAGAGTGTTTCAAAGATGCAATAGAGACAGACACAAAGGTAGAAAAAAGGTGAGGTGAGTACGGTTGAAGTAGTCGAATTTGACATACAGTGGGGTGATGGTAGTTTGAAGTGAGAAGTCAACTACCGATTTATAGACTATTTTGCCGTATGAATATACGTTGCCCAGGGTGCACCACGTGGAGGTTAGTCTATCACACACCCCTAATTGGCAAAATAAACTCGGCTATGACTGCTTCGTCCAGTTTTAACAATTTGTAGTGGATTGTTACACGTACATCCTGCCAAATGCATAGAAGAAGAAGTTTGTGAAGGGTGAATGGTGGCTTTGGAGATAGAATGGGTGTTCGATTTGGGACAAAAACAATTTTTTGCAACTAACGTTATCTCAAAAATCCTCATTACGATATGCTTGCAAAAATGACAAATTATTTGCCATGACAACAAAGAAATGTTCATTATTTTTGTTATGTCTGGTCGCTGATGTAACACCATCAAAATTTCCATCCAATTCAACTTAATTGTACGCTTCGAGTAATGGGGTTTAGGAGCCTTGCAGATGTTTAAATCCTGATGGAAGAAAACCAACATGCAAAGTTTGTCTGATGTGGTTGATGATTGACAATTGGGGTCTTGTCAATATGACTAAATTTATTGCTCCTAACTAATGTTGAGCTATTAGATTACTAAGGAAGAAAGCTTATCGAGTTGTTTCCTTCACTCTGCCTGGGTTCAGACTGAACTCAAATATCTTATTGCAAAATGCGCGATTTCTTAATGATGCACCGAAGGTGCATAAGCATGGAATTACCTATTGCCTTCATCACACTTCGTTGATTACTTCTAAAACTGGCAAAGCAATTGCTTGAATTCAATCAGCCAGGCAAACTTTTTTTTACCTCAAAGTAATATTCACTCTATTTTTTCCTTTAGTTGTGTGGAAGATTTGAATGTTCAGACGCGCCTCACCTTCAAGCTATGATGGACAGTTAATTAAGAAGTGTGTCATAATCTCCTTCTAAAATCTCTACTAACCATGCAAGATGTGTGTGTGTGTGTGCATATGCGTGTGCTGTCGAAGAAGTCTGAAAACTAGTTAATTGTATTCTACTTACTTGAAAAATTTGTTCCCCATTTTCTACTAATTACCTTTTTTAGCCTAATTCAAATGATGATTACAGCGGTAGCGGTCCGATCTATTTGAGGACGCAATTTTTGTGCTGTCAAGATAAACACTACTTTCAGTTCCTGACTCTTGAACCTCTCACTTTTTGTTCTAACATCTCGGGGGGGGGGGGGGGGGGGGGGGGGAGGGGAGGGGTAGGGGTATCACTGAATAGGATTTTTGGATCGTGAAGATAAATATTGTTAAACCTTGAATGATGGGGTAAAATATATATTAATCCATTTGCTAATTAATTGTTTCAAGATTTATCATCAAAAATTTGACCATGGGACGAGAGGGAAACGAGTTGCCACGGAAAGGAACATAAAGATTCAATATATTATAGAACGAAGGGGTGTGTAAGTTTTAAACTGGACTGTAACGTTCTTTGCCTTCTTTTAAACACGAAAGAATTGTTTTTTTTTTCATTTCCTTATGAGGATTTTAGTCCTAATGTTCAGGTTTAATAATTTTACTCCCTGCTTAATTGGGGGGGGGGGGGGGGGGTTATTTTTCCTTCATTTTTTAAATGTTACGAATCAATGGATTTAATTTCGGGCTCAATCATCTCACCTGGATCTCTTTTCTTGCAGCCAAATCAGCAGCAGCCTTTTGATATTTTTCACTAAAGAGAATTGTTCTTCTTACACATTTGAATCGGGAAAAAATCTAATTTCAACCCCACTTAAATCTAAACCAGATAGGATAATTTAGAAATATTGGAAAATATTTAGGGAAATTACTTCGACTGTAGATTAGTGTCCATTTAAGCTGGTAATAACATAATTAATCGTTTCTATCGAGCTTCATTAACTTAATTAAAGCTGAAAAGTCACCATTTCTTTGCTCTCTACAATTCAGAAATTATAAACAGTCTTTTTTTAAATTTAAAAAAAAACACTACCATGTTTTCACATGGTCTCCTTTAGTATAAAAGTTAAAGAAATTAAGGTAATTATCAATTAAATATTCTCTCTATTATTGAGAAATTTATGGCGATATTGAGCATTAAAAAATGAGTCCGGCTAAACTGGCGCCTAAACCCTCTCTCTTCCCCTCCCTGTTTAATGCTAAGATCTTAGCCTACTGATATCTAATAGCATTCAACTATGCGGTTTGTGTGCATTGGAATTCCACCGTTTTTGTTGTGTCCTTGAAGCGGTAGGCGCCTTTTTTAATTTCAACAACCCCCTTTTACTTACTTAGTAGGAGAGCGAAATTAAAAGAGCTCTCCTTCAGACGGATTTAGTCCATGTCTGGAACGGATGAGACGTCTGGTGTCTACTACTCAGTAATTTATTTTATATGCAAATTTTTTTAAAGGGAAAAACAACACACTCCATGTCTGGGAAATGGCTAAGTGAAATTGGGACTTAAGAAGAGGAGGAGAAGCGTTATTCCCTTGAAGTTAGCAAAAATAATTTTTTAAAATTTTAAAATTGAAAATATCCCTAAAATATGTTGATTTCACAGGGTATTTGTGCCCATTATTAATTTTCAATCCAATTTTATTGAATACCTAAAGCTGACTTTTTTCCCAATCCTTGTTCATTTTTTCTTTTCAACGATTGCGATGATTGGGATGGTTCTTTTCCAGAATGATGTTCGATTTTATTTTTTCTCTCTCTCGAGTTTTATTCCCGGTATTTGAACACGTGGATCTTTCTTCAAAAGTTTAAAGTCTTTTTCATTCATATCCTTGATGATTCGAGAGTGGTTAATTGGGGCCTACCTGATTGATGGAAGAGAATAAATTGTGTCATGCTTATTCACACCGGCCACCATGAGCAAAGTGAACCTCCTCCGAAAACACAGTCTGTTTTTTCCCGGATGAGAAAGTCTCTTGTCAAAATCTAGAGCACAGTATCCGCAAATAGCAGATGGTTTAGTTTGAAAGCAGTTACCATTCCAATCGAGCCATGATTTTCAGAAGTGTATCGCCCTCTTAGGGTGAAGTGACGCCACCTTTCAAATTGTTGCAAAGAGGAACTTAGGTTGAATTTAGATGTCTATGTGGAACTGCTGTCTACTATTGTTAAGCCCTAGATAACGTGGAGAGCAAATAATTTTGCCATATATATGACGACAGCAGAATTCGAGTCCTAGCCACACCTCAGGGAAAGTAAAATAATGGTTGCCAGCCCATATTTACAACTACATCAGCCCCAGTGTTGGGCCTCCAAACTAATCTCCCTCCCCTCCCCCTCCACCCCCCAACCCCTCCCCTTCCCTCCTTTACCACCCCGGTTCTTAACACGATGGACTGTTATATACGTATTGGACGCTGTGGAGGAAGACACTAATCACCATGCTAGTATCACAAAAGCCGAACAGTTAATGAACAGAATGGAAGCGGTTTTTGAGACTTTTCCCAAGGAAAGTGTAAAATCATCATCGCCGAGTAGGGCTAATGGAAGCTCCTGTCGGTTGTTTAGCATAATTCCTCGGCAAATGATGAAATTTCTTTGTTTATTGAATTTCTTTTTTGCTAAATCCAGAAAATTTTGTGGTAACCAACTGCTTTCTCTTTTCCTTGACGAGACTGTACCATTAGATTTAAGCACTTTTGCACCTTAATTAGTTCAAAAGGCAAAGCATAGTTTGATGGATATTGATGCATTTACGTTGAGAGGAACAAACGAGTGTAATAGCTAAGTTGATGAAGTTATTCCGCAATTCGGGTTTCTCTCCATGGTAAAACCTTGATCCTGACTCTTAGGACTTGATAAATGTTTGAAAAGAGCTTTTCTGAATGAGATTGGACCCTAGAAATATAGGCCAGACATTTAGGTCACGGTTTTTAAAGTCTTATGTCAATCGTTGAGTTGATACAAGTGGATATGTTAGTTTTGCCTAATTTTAATCTCAGTTTTATAAATTGATACTTTTTCCCTGATCAATATTGCTCTGTATAGACTCCTCATATGGCAAGGATCAGTTACTCCGATTGGGTTTACGAAACTATGATCCGACGCCAGTTACCACTCCTGAATGCCGCTATCATCTACATGAAGACAAATATTGAATCGAATTCTCGTAGCTGCTCCCCTGATCGAGGTGAAGGGGATGCTGGTCCTCCTCGCAAGCTTTCCGTGCGTTTGTCGCGTCGTCGAACCAGATCTACTTTTACTGGTGATGATGATCTACCTTTCGAATTGAATCAGGTAGTTTGAGTTCTGCCCAGCGCATACTACTTTTACCTCTTATTCTGTTGTATAGCTTTAAAGTTTCCTATGCACTTTTGACCTATTGACCTATTCTGAACTTTTTACTTTACTTTCCCTAGAGTGACAATAAGGTAAGCACAATATACAAATAATGGATGTGAATTTCTCACCTCACATTTAAACCAGCACGCAACCACCTACGCATCTCCACTTTTGATTGGCGTTGTTACTTCTAATCATCCATACATTGCTCATTTATGTCTAAGTTGATTTCGCTTCACATCCTCTTGATATGCATTGTGTTTGTTCATTCATTTACAATTGACTGTCTAAGTCGTTTACGTGCAAATGGCAATTGTTCACTTTTTGAACATTGCAACGTAACATCTGTTTTCTTGTTATTGATTGGCTTCGGAAATCAGAGTCTATTTTCCTTCGATAAAATAATTGGCCTTGAGAATTTGTTTAAAATGACATAGATTTGTTTGGGATACTACTACTTGTGTTCAACTAAATACACGTCTAATGTGGTGATCCTTCTACGCATAATTATGATTGAATCATCCGGTTGATAACACAGTGATACATAAAATTTCTGATTTTGATCACAAAATTTTGTAGAATCCATATTATCTATATTAGGTATAAATAGTTAACACGCTTTTTACTAAACGTCAACAGTCGTTAATTGCTAAAGGCTTTTTTTGTAAAAAAAGTTTGGCATTTTGTCTTGACATGTAAGGCAAGATACTGATATTTATTAAAGCCATATTTTGTCAAGCCGTACCTCTTGGAATGCCGTGTTAAATTAAACTATTGTCAGGTGGTTATATTTAACTTATAGTTCTTGATGGATAGTTGTTTAAAATGGCAGAATCCCTTTTGATATAAGAACTCTACATCGTGTGCCAAGTTTGATCCTGATGTCAATTTATCTAACTCACTGTCTATGATCCATTTAGGGAATTGGAAATGGCCGCAAGGTAGCACCTACCCTCCTTGAAATTTCCTCCACTTTCGTCGACTCTACTTAGGAAATATATAAAAGGAAAAATCGAACTCATTTTTGCAATATTTGACGATTCTGCGCATCAATCGTTTTTACTTTTTTTATCAATTTAACGAAATTAAATCTACGTAGCACATTATTTACGAATAATTTTCAAGACGTTCCATCAAAATTAGAAATAACGAATGTAATAGATGGCTTTTCATTGTGCATTTTTTCATTTAAAAAGGTCAGAGGTTCTTTTGGTATTCAGCCAATTAGAAATTTGGTTCTCTCTACACCGAGAGTCCTCTGAATGGCCATGGTTGGACCTTTTAAGTAATTTTATCACTTTTGACTTTCCATTTTTGCTCTAAATACATATCTTCTAAAATCGATACTTTATCATTATTATTTTATTTATTTATATCAAATGGCAGGCGTTTTGGTGGTTACCATTAGCCCATTAGTTGACTTCAGGCTTCACAGAGGGAGAGGAGCATCAAAGTGAATAAAGTTGAAAGGGGGGGGGGGAAACAGAAGAGTGTTTCAAAGATATAAAAGAGACAGACACAAAGGTAGAAAAAAATGGTGAGATGAGTACTGTGAAAGTGGTGGCATATGACGTGATGGTAGTTTGAAGTCAGAAGTCAACTGCCGAATAATGGACATTTTTCCGCATGAGTATACGTTGCCCAGGGTGCTCCAAGTGGAGGAAAGTCTATCGGACACTCCTTTTATCAATCTTATTGTTCTTCTAGCTCAATAAGGTAGGAAGAACACTGCGGCCTATATGAGAGAAATGTTTATCCAGAAATTATCTCGTTACACTTTGCCGCCTACAACTCATTAAATATATAAGGGAAGTAGATTTCACTACCAGATCAATCCAATCGCATTGAACTCGCAGTATATCTGAAAGAGGCGTTTTATTATATGACCAGGTGTCATTCTATTTAGTATTCCTAAACAAATCAAAGTAGAGTTAAGCACTTTAACCAAACAGAAGTAAGGTATTTGAAGAGACCTTGACTGATAATATTTACTTTTTTGGAACAGAATATTTCGTTAAAATGGAGTGAAGATAGTGAATCTATTTAGTCTTGAAGTAATCTCATTTGTCGCGTTCTCACAGAGACTATCTAAGCAGGATGAATCAGATGGGAATTGTAGTCAGGCGCCTAAAGTTGACAAGTTAATTTGAAATGGGCTAAGTGATACCCTCCCTAAAACTACTTGATCATCCGAATTTCACCAAAAGTTAACTGACGTCTAACAGCTGCCTGCATGTGGGGTCATCTAGTATATTTGATCTTGTACATCCATGCGCATGCGAAAATTGCCTTTCAATATAATCGAAGATCCCTATGATATGTTCGACGATAAAAGTGGAGATTTCAGCATCGTGGGAAAATTATTGATTAAAATTTCAAGGTTAATGAAACATGATTGATTCGACTATTGGTGTCTTAGTTCTTTGAAATCAGTTTCATTTTAGACAAAATTTAGTCAAGTGGGGAAGTTATTTCTTCGAGTTTTGAGCAATAGAGAATATCAGGCAAACTCTTTTTAGTTAACAAATTAAATTGTGCTAGAGTCATGTAAAATCGATTCAAGTGGACGTCAATAAATTTCAATATTGATGAGACTCAAACGATTTAAGAAACTGCTGGCAAACGCTGTTATATTTAACACCAATTTGAAATGAAAGTTGCACTATTTGCATTATTATTATTATTATTGTTATTATTATTAAAGAGAGTTACTTTTGAATCGCCACTTACAATATTTCCATCTATTTTGATGCGATCCACATCAGCGCATGTGGGGTTTTTTTTGTTTAACACGACAATGCCACTTTCTTTTCCTAGCATACAATTGAGGTATACTTCTCCTATCACCCAGCACCACGAAGCAAGCACTATACGCATCCACCTGCCTTCTGTGCAGTGAGCCCTCATCAGTTTGTGCAGTTGCGGGATTTGAATATCGAAATTCCCACCGAACGAACCGCAGGAACAGGCAGCGTAAAGGAAAAACGCGCATCAATTTACGATGGAGTCCTTCTCGATAAGTCTGCTCGTTCTCGTTTTGTCTCCAATTTGAAGTTCATAATGCCTGCGGCCTCGTCGGCTGCGTCTATCGGTGCCTCGGGTATGGCAATTAAGCCTCTTATTGTGCCGATATTTTGTGCCTCCTCGTATGCATGAGTGTTGCTGAGCCTCAGTTGGAGGAAGGGAGGGGGGGGGGGCGGGGAGTCTGTTTTAAGTTTTTGTCCATTGCACTCATTTCAATTTCTGAGAAAATTAATTACTACCTATTATGTGATCAAGGAAAGTCGGTTTCGTCGATGTCATTGTAAGCTGCTAATGGTCATTAACAGTGAGTACTTCTAAAGTAAAATTTAAAGTAATTGAGTGAGAAGGGCGCTGTAGATCATGTTAGATAATACCGTCTTTCCTTAGTTTATGTGAGAAGTGGTTGGGTAAAGTGAAATGACCTGCCATCATGTTCAAGTAATCGAATAGCAAACATTGGAAATTGTGGATAAACGTTTTATCAGTGATCTAAGATTTAAACCATGAAAATCAAATTTTTGAGCGTGAACCAAACAAAGTATATCTCCTCAAAAGTTACGTTATCCAAACCTTCCAATTACACCTCTTAACGAATTTTGTTCGTCCTAATCCAGCCCTTTTCTCACAATGAAAATTATAAAATTTAACTGCATCACTGTGGCTTATTCGAGCAATTCCATCAAAAGATCCCGAAATATCCCCCCAAGAATTATGAGAGTGAGGTGAGTAGAAGAAACAATTCAAAGATGTGTCAACTTTTGGAAGTTTATTTTCAGTTGCCATGGTAAAAGTGTTTCATGAGTAGAATAATTCATTACTTCGAGTACACAGCCTCCTAGTACACTATTCTTTACCACTAACTCATCTCGTCCAGGTTTGTTAACGCAGCATGAATAGTCTCAGTAAGGAAGAAAGGAAATCATACCATAACGTTTTATTTAATTTAATTCACATCCTTTCTAAAAACCATGAAGTGGCTTTGAAAAGATTCCGCAGTTTTAATCGTAATTTCACAAATAATTTTTGTCTGTAAATTTTGGTATTTGATATTTTAGCTACTTAACCGCGTGGTTATTATCAGATATTAATTCGAAACATATTGGCATTCAATTTTCACTCCCAAATGGGATATTTTTTAAATGATATTCGCAGCATTTTTCTGGTATGGGCTGTCTATTCCTTCATAGTGATGTCTCTTAATTTATTCTTTCAAAAAAAGCGTTCAAATGTTTGTACATTCAAACTACAGCTGAGACCGACAGTTTACTTGCTCACACAATTGCCTAACTCCTGATAATGGAAGATAACATTAAAAAATACTTCCCAATATAAGAGAAGCACCAAGAGCTTGATTAAGCGTGCTCATTCAGAAATGCTTCCGTTTACTGTTGGATTTTTATTTTGTTGGACAAAACATTTATCTATTTAACTTCTTCCTGAATTTTCTCTCGTCCACGCACTCACGCACGCACGCGCACACACACCTTTCTTTCTAGTCAATTTGGCTGAAAGGTTGGCCAGCCAGTAGGAGGGGGCCCAACAATTTTCAAATGCTAAAACCGTCGGTTTGAAAAAAGGTCTGTCCTGAGTTGACGTTGTTTGTTAAAAATCCGCTTCTTCACCATTAAAAGTAGCTAAACAATTTACCTGCAATAAGGACTCTTATAAAGTTCCTTTTCTTTGTGATGCAGTTAACGTGCAATTTAGCGTGAAAAAATTAACGCAGAATTGTCAATTTCACACAAGCATTCATTCAAATGAAAGGGTGTATTTTGCATTCATTTCACTGGATCAGAAGAAACGAAGTTTTGAGTATTTCTGTCATATTTACTATTCGAACTTGTTTTCGCACAATAACGATGACAATTTATGAGAAATTTCCATGTAAAATTTTATTTGTCGGTTAAAATCTTAGTAGCATTAAAAAAGGTATGTGATGTTCAACATAGACCTTTATTAAACACTCGTTAAGGGATAAGAGTATCTCGATGTCGGAAGTGTGACGAAATGCGAACCTTTTGACATTGCAGCCCCCACTCCAGACCTCTCTTTACTCTACTGGAAAGTGCAATTTAGGCATTTTTATGTCTAATTCGTATTCTAATTGTTTTGTGCTAGTGGTACTATTATCGTTATTTCATTGAAAAATATGGAATGTCAAGTGCCATAAATCTACAGATCCTCATACGGAGACTGTTTGATCAGAATCACTGAGGGTCCAGAGACTTATGGCTTAATGTCTGATTATCAATATGAAGAACGGAGATAGCACTCCTATAAGGCTAGGGTTATAAATGTGGATATTTTTACTCTGAGGCCTGTCTAGTCAGTGGTCATGAAGTGATTGTTATGAAGACTATGTCTGACAATTCTGGTCAAAAAGAGAGATGGTGGACTCGGATCAAGCGTCCTGAACACGTCGCCTAATGAGCTTTGAAAAATTATAATTGATGCTTATTAAATGCCATGAAGCCAAACATTTTATTTCACTTCAGTAAAAAAAACATCAAATGTTTTATTTCTTACTTATTGTCATTAGCTGTTCCAATTTTAATCTTTTCTGGTTTGACATAATGTTTAAAGGAAATGTTGCTTTTCGTCTTTACCTGTAGCTGGGAGCAACATCAGCAATAATAATAATATTACAGCAACGACTAGCAACCATCTGACACATCAAGTGGTGACGGTGGACACCGCTGGATGGGTTCGACAACATATTCTCATTCCCTTGGCTCAAAATGAGCCAGGAGCTCTTTCAGAGACGGAACTGTTGATGCAAATGCGTGGTTTCCAGAAGAGCCCCTTCAGGGATGAAGAAGATGGTGGTTTTGCCATACCTCAAATCAGTGTTCCATCAATCGAACCTGAGCCAATTAGTCCAGCACACCTTGAACAAGAGGCTCTTAAATACACACCTACCAGGTATAGTTGTCTGCTTATTTATTTGTTTATTATACCATGTTATAAAGAGGTACGTGGGTGTACGACTTTAATAAGCAGATCGAGGGTGATTTGTTTGTCTATGAGGTTTCGTATTAATTTAGTGAATTTCCTTGCTCAAACTCGAGTTTCTTCCAATTTTAAGGCGCTTGTTGATAGTTCTTTGGCATTTGCTTGAGAAGCAACACCAAAAACCTGTTTTTTACATGTTTAAAGTTGTCAATCTAGTTCAGCAGTATTACGAACATCCGCCATTTATCCATAGACAAGATAGTTTACTCGTTTGAAATCAGAAATAAGAAAGCCAATGATTTTCGATTTTACAATTTTCATGTGCTAACCTTTCGGAGACTAAGAAAGTGGAATAAACCACTTAATTAGAATTTTATCCTGGAAGGATTGGTCCTAGCAAACCCCTCCCCACCTCCCCCCCTATCCCCCTCCCCGCACCACACACTCTTTACCCATTTAATCGTATTCAAGAAATCGAAATCACCAGTTTTATCATTACTACTATTTAATGCTTAATAAAATGGAAGATATTGTTGCCTTAACTTACTTAGTAGTCTGTGTTTACCAACCGAGTGGTCTAAGTGATTACCATACCATTGAATTTCTTTGAATATTTTCTTTACGTAAGACAACTGATTACTGTTTACAGTCAACGGTACTTGTATTCTCTTTTAAAAAATACTGGACACATTGCAAAAACTAAAAGGGCAGATTATTTTGTTCGACATCAACCATGTTTTTTACCAACTTTTGAAAAAAATAGCATTTCCCATTCATTGCGCATTGGAAAATCAGCTGAAATCTCATTAGGCTAATTGCATTAGTACCTGTCACTAAAATACCATCGATACACTTATCTGGCATGTTGAGGTTGCAGTCAGGTCAATGACGGTCAGTGTAGTCAATTTCCATGTATCGGAATGCTGTTATGAAGCTTGTCTTAACCTGTTATCTCCTCTCTTTTAGTACACGTCAACGATCATTGGGTCCACTTTTGTATCCACCCCGTGAACTTACAACAAAAGTGGCCAAATTGAAGCCCACTTCTCCCTCAGCTCAAGTGCATGCTATTTCCACGAACGGTTGCCATCTTTACTCTGCAGGTCGTTGGGACAACCGAATCGCTGTCTATAACACCCAGACAAGTCGTCTAGACACTCTTGTAACCACCCCTCACACTGACATTATCACCGCCATAGCTGTAGACCCAGGCTGTTATCGAAAATCAGCCCAACATGGGTCCGCATCCCAATATCTCATTACTGGCAGTCGTGATGGCACTGTCTGTGTCTGGAATTTCACTCTTTTCTCTGGTAGAATGACAAAACAGGTCCGTGCTGACCGCACTTTCATAGAAATCTTCGAGGCGACTAAGAAACTGGAAACAGAGAGTAGTAAAAGTGCTTTAGCAAACAACGGCTTCGGTAGTAGTTCTATCAAATCGAACCAAACTGATGGCTATCCAACCGACATGCAAGAAGAGATTGTAGCATGCCTTCAACCTGGAATGCCCTTTGATGATAGCACACTAAACTTTGGCTGTGGATGTAAGGTGGCCGATGCGCACACTTCAGGAGGGCGTAAAACTGCAATGTCGAATTCGAATTTCATGTCTGTTCCTCCGACTGAAGTAGCTAAAGTTATTAGATTCTTTCCTGCAGATGAAAGCGGACGACCGATAAGTAATGTCGCCCTCTATCTAGCTCTAGACATAGCAATTTGCGCCTCTAAGGGTTCGAATATCCTCAAAATGTACGCTGTGAAACGAGGGGTTTGGACTCGGCAAGTTGCCCTACCTGACACTGCAAACATCGAGCATCTCCTTATCCACTCTATCTCTTCCTCATTCCTTGTCCAATGGACTATTAAAGGAGACAGAGGTCGTCAATTGCGTCTCTCAAGATTTAATATGAATGGAAGGTGCGTAGCTGAATCGCCAGTATTCCAGGAATACAAAATTCCTCCTCCATCGCCCTCAGCTAATACGCAAGTAACTCAAATGCTGATAGAAACTCTTTCTCCTTCTGCCAATTCAAGAGCAGTTGTCAACCATATTCTCCTCTTATCAACTACATCGGGTCATCTAATTATGCGAGAAGTGGAGTCCTTAACCCAATTGCGTGTTTTTTCTATCGGTGCGCCAATAGTTCATATGAGTATGACCTTGGGTGTATACGGTGGCGGGGTCAATCTGATTCTCTCACTGGCCAATAGCGCCTTTGTTATCGCTTACCCCGGTCTTACGGCACCTCTCAATACTCTTACCTCTATTTCATATGCGTCAGCTGGACGTTCTAATGTCACTGCCACATCAAATGAATCTAGAAGTCGAAAAAGCAATAATTGACTGTGATGAAGAAATTATGTTATCCCTTTCTCATTCCTTCCAACTCCCTTTTCATTGAGTGGTCTACTACACTCTGCTTCTTTTTTTATAATTCTCCACACCTTATTGGAACCCTCCTTTTCTAATATAGAATTTTATATGGCTATCTCAAATTTGATTGGTTAATTCTTCTAATGTCGGCAGGGTAAAGTCAATTGTTCTGTTTGTCTACTGAAATGCCCTCACAATAATAAGTTATCATGGCTTTGGGATATTTTGAAATGTATAATTAGAATATTTGTGTTTATGTGTTGTTACAAACAAGAAAGGGACAAACTTGTTAAAATAACTTTTCAATAGCTAATAGAGAAGATAAATCAATTAATCTTCAATTAGAGCAAGGCAACCGCTCAAATATCTTTGTGCTTCCATTGGCAGTTGTTTTGAATTATGAGGTTACAATCGAGGAGATGGGAAGAACATGGCCCTGAGATTCATATAACAAAAACGTGGAAAATGTCTTACGATGGGTCAAAGTTTGCATTTTCTGAGGTCATTGGAGAAGTCTTCTGGTAAGTCAAGTCGGGGTATTGACAACCCAGATCAGTGTGCTCTAAATAGCGATATTCAGCTAATTTTCTTATTCTCTTCGTTGGTGTGATTTTCATCTGACACCAATTGTGTGAGAAAGGAGAGAGGGGGAGGGGTGATAGTTATTGGAGGGGGGTGGGGAGGGGGGNATTGGAGGGGGGTGGGGAGGGGGGTGGGGGGGGAGGGAATCCAATTCTCTTTCTTGACAAGTGGCAGCATTTCCAGACGCAACAGTCATCAATAACCCCTGTGAAGGTGTTGTCTGCAGCATTGAAATTTTGCGTCAGTTTGTCTATCAATCTACACAAAGCACAGCAATTATTGTTTTCCTTTGCGCGATTCTTTTCTTTTGAATCTCCATTTGTTCAGCAAAGAACCTGTAAAAGTCATTTGCATAGAGGTATTTTCTTAGTTGATAAAGGCTACTCGAAATAAGACTAGCATAAATATAGAAATCGCTCTTTAAAGACAATGTGGAGAAAAAATGATGTACGAATTTTTTTGTCTAGAAACCGGAAGAAAAACTGTTGGCCGGCAGATGATGAACGTGTGTTTTTAAGTGCCAATAAGGAAATATGCTTATGCACAATTAGTAGGTATTTTCCTTTACGAAATTACTATTTTGTTTAGCATTACCCCCCACTTATAATTTCAAGATAACGCTTGTCTGTTACATTTATTAAAGTGGTCTAACACGAGCTACGCCATTTAAATGAGAAGTTTTGCCACCTATCCTCCTAACTTGGATATCGTCTTGATGGTCTCATAATTAGTGCTATTGGTTGGCAGTTTTCCTTATCAATAATTTCCTAACATTCATAGTTCATGTTTACGGTAGAAAATTTGATTTCCATTAGAAAAATATCTGCATTGCGGAATTAGGTGTATTGGAAACTTGTTGAGTGGTTAGTCACTCTACCACAGTGTTTCAATTTTTCTCGTCTTCTCAAGAGAAGGTAAACACAGCCTTAGTTGTTGTTGTTGGCGCTTAATAGACACTGGTGAAATCCAATTTGCGATATAATTTAAATTCTACTATCCGTTCTCTTTGAAGTCACTGTCCGCAGAAGAGATAGTTTTCCAAAATATCTGTGTATTAGAATAAAAATGACTGGGAGGTCTTGCCCTCTTTGTAACTACACAATCAACTGGAACAGGAATGGATAGTGGGTCGAGTTAGGACGAGATGTCCAAAATTGAGGGGAACTAGTGCACGGGAACAAAATTTTCTAATGCAATTAAATTGGGATTAAAGAGACAAGTATGATTTATATTCCCCCCCTCCCTCATTACAAACTTTACTCCCTACTTACACAATTATTTTATACTTTGGTAGAGTAGTTCGATTTATACGGCACCTAGACATTCCGTTTAACGTATTGCCATATAAATTTATTTATTTCAAATGGTAGGCGTTTTGATAGTTGTCAGTAGCACTTTAACTGACTTCGGGCATCATAGAGGAAAATAAACATCAAAGGGAAAAAAGTCAAAAGGGGGGTGGAAACAGAAGAGTGTTTCAAAGATGTAATAGGGACAGACACAAAGGTAGAAAAAAGGTGAGGTGAGTACTGTGAAAGTAATCAGACATGACATACAGTGGGGTCATGGTAGTTTGAAGTGAGAAGTCAACTGCCGGTTTATAGACTTTTTTGCTGTATGAGAATACGTTGCCCAGGGTGCACCAAGTGAAGGTAAGTCCATCGCACACCTCGCATTGCCAGAAAAAGGAAAATAGTAGAGTCCTGAAATAGAAAAGACGATTTTTTGAATGCCGTTGGGAAATCGGGATGTTATTTGGCACAAATTTGTACCTGTATACACAATTGATGATGTAAGATTGTTTGTCATTCTAAATCATGCAATTCCAATGTCAAGTGAATGAAAAATGGAGATCTGAATGAGATATTTGATGCCAATCACAAGTACTCTCAGCGATAAGTAAACTATCGCGGACAAGGTTTTGTTAGTTATACTGGATGTTTCGTCTTATCGAACCCTTTATAAGATTTATTAGGTTTAAAAGCTTATGTTCATCTCTGAAAAAGACAAAAAGTCAATCAATGGTATAATCACAAATCAACAAATAATAATCCGTGATTGTTGCGGACATGAACTCATCTGAAAACCTAAATGTGGCATCCAGGTTTTCGGCGCTGCATTACATGATACACTCCCTTAGAAGCAACGACGGCTTGCTTACGGCTTTGCCAACAAGTGTTTCTGGTTGTAAATTGCTCCATATAGTCCTATTCAAGATCTTCTGGGGGGGGGGGAGGGAAGGGTTACGTAGTTCCCGATACTCGATACCAGAAATCATATCATGAAACGTGAGTCTCCGACGATTTGCAGGTGACAAATTGAGTATAACATGAATTTAAATACAAGAAAGTGCAAAACTTGCTACTCTCAGAATTGTCATATGTCATGACTCTTAGTATCTGGCTCTATTGTGCAATCCGTTTCGATTCACCGTTTCATAGCTTAATGGACCTCCTTTTCCGTGAGAAAAGTGTTGCGGTTCTTGGAGAATGACGTTTTTCGAAGACGATATCCGAAAGGAGCACTAGAAAACGCTTTCCAAAGACGGGATTCGAGATTTAAGCAGATTTTGATATTATGACTCTATAGCTGAAGAGTTTACAGTTCAGGTAATTTCTGACTTCTGGCGAAAGGAGGAACCAACTGAGAACAAGTTAATAGATCACCTCCCTTGTACAAAATCACGGGGTAGATAATGACTTGTCAAAAAAACGATTCCCTAACGCCATACAAATGCGTCGAAAAGTACGACTTCCCATTATTTCCATTTTAAATACATAAAATCAAGTGGCAAATAGAGGTTATTGCAATTGGGAGGAAATTCCTAAAAGAAATGCCAGAAAAACACTTAGAGAGTGGAATAAAGCTTACAAGTAGTATTTGCTGTCTAAAGCAATTTAATTCACAGATTGAGGTGGCATAGCTCAGAGGTTTTAGAAAACTGTGATTGAACATTCAAATAATGCTACTGAAATTGCACTTATCAGGAAGAAAGTTAAAATTTGCGCCCATTTCCTTACAAACTTTCTGCCTTTTGAGCCACCGCTGGCGGGACAATTCCTAATTGAATTAAACTGTTTCTTTAACATGATGTGAATTTCCTTTATAGGGGTGTGCGATAGACTTATCTCCACTTGGTGCACCCTGGGCAACGTATACTCATACGGCAAGAAGTCTACTAACCGACAGTTGACTTCTGACCTCAAACTTCAATGTCCCATCTGTGTGCCATATTCTACCACTTCCACGATACTCATCCTACCATTTCTCTGCCTTCGTGTCTGTCTCTTTACATCTGTAAATCACTCTTCTGTTCCCCTCAACTCGACACTCTGTTACTTTGATGTTTCTTCCCCCTGTGAAGCCCGAAGTCAGCTAAAGGGCTACTTATAACTATCAAAACGCCTGCCATTTAAAATAAATAAATAAATAAATAAATATGCTTTATAGTTGATACCCAAGGCAATGGCCAATCAGTTGGCAAGTTTAAGGCAGGAAAGAATTTTAGCTTTCAAAATAGCCTATCAGTGAAGTATGGCAATGGAAGGGAGGTTTAGAATCCACTTTTAATGAGGCCCAAAATATCAAAAATAAACTAATATTGAATACAACAAGGTGTACATTTACCCATTTTCCTTTTAAGGCGTCATAAAGAACGGCTGCAATAAAGTGAAGCCCTGCCATAGTGGCACTTTTACTCGTCTCATTTTGATCCTTGTAGAGTAGGAAGTTGGGGGTAAAACGTTATTTTAAACTTTCAATGAGCTCATTGAATTTTGCCAATTTGTTGCAATCGCATTGAAAACGAATGCATACATCAATTCAAATTATGATTGAATGAATGGTTTTATGATTAAAGACCTTACGAAATGATCAGAGGTGGAAATATAAATTTCACTTTTCCAATAATGAGGCCTAATCTGTCAGAAGGAACAAAGTATGATAATCTGAAACCATGTGATTGGGTTTCTCATGGAAGTTAGCAGAAAATTTATCAATTTTTTCAGTGAAAAGGGAGCAGATCTCCTTGGATAATCTTATATGTGCTTATGCTATGTGTGGTTAGTTTGTGATGTGTGAGTCTCAAGATTAGAATCTTTTAAATGCGGCGATAAATCAATCTTTCCTTCTCTGCAAGATGTTTGTGCCCAAATCCCAAACTGTGTCAGTTCGAGCCATCTTGATCAAATAAATAAATGATCCAATTCAAATGAATTGCAGCTGTCATGCTGTCAAATAACTTCGCATAAATTAGTTATCTGATGATGTACAATCTGACAATTATTTTTAGAAAAGGATAACGCTATCTTAAGATTTCTGTAGTTCAGTAAATTTGATGGAAGAACGCAGTGGATATGACTGAAGGGCCGTTTTAGTAGTTGATAAGG